GCTGGCATGGCGCAGGATGGTTGGGAGGGACAGACTAAATGCTGGCACGGTTGGGACAGACTAAATGTTGGCACGCACGGCACAGGATGGGGGGCTTCTTGGAAAATGAATTCCATTTTGCAGCTTCTCAAACATTGCTCCGCTCACTCCTCTTAGCTTGGCGCTCATTAGTGACGTTTGAAGCTGAAGCTCCGGCACATGTATCCAACAACAACACTGTTTGTGAAGGTCTGTGTCGGAGCTCGATTCGTTTGACACAAGTCTTGCGATCGATGACGTCTGAAGCTTCGTGAGTGACGTCTCTGCTCTGGGTACCTGACTCAAAGGTTTAGAGGAAGCACTGGACTGGTTCTTGTTCTACTGATGCACTTTGTGCCAAAAACAACAAACCAGAGTCACATGGAGCCAGGCAACCAGATGTGTTTTGTGTTCATAGAACATCAAAGTTCATGCTCAATAATCCAGGTAATAATCCAACACTGTTCAGTGAGGTCATCTCAATAGGTGGATTAGATTTATAAAAAGATATTTATCAGAAGTCGTGTCACGCCACACGTTTCAACACGTTCATTCATCAAACTCCTTTAATCATTTTCACCTGCAGAAAGTCATGTTCAAAGCACCTCATGCATCAGACTGAAATGTGTCAGGATTTGAACCAGCAGCTGTCAGCTCAGTCAGCTGGACAAGAAACGTCTCATTCTCTGATGATCTTTTTACTTTTGGCCACCAGGTGGCACCAAAGAGGACAGTATTGAAGAGCTTCAAGTGATGAACCCTTTTTCAATGTTTGTCCGTCACCAGAGACAAACTGAACGTTCTGAGACCTCGTTCAGAAGAGTCTCCAACTCACCTGTCAACTTCCTCTTGTTCTGTAAGAAGGTGCAGGTGCCTCAGGTGCAGGGCATGTTCAAATCTACATGTTTAGGTGGCGGCGTGTCGAGGGCGGAGTCAGGTATTCCCTCAGGTGGGTTCAGTTCCTCGTTGACTGGGACGTACACAGGAAGTGTGCAAACGTCTGGATGTATTTGTGCGTACGCTTCCTGTTTCAACAGGAAGTCCACGCAGGTTTTCGTGCGAGGCCCCGTCAGTTCAACCGTGGACTCAGTTTATTTTTCTGTCTGTTCCTCTGTTTTAGCCACTTCTTGTTTTTAGTATTTTACCTTGTTTTACTTGATTTGACTGTTTAAAGAACGACTTTTATTTTTAATTAGCTTTTTGTTGAATTGTTGTCTTGTCTCAAACAGGTGTCTCTTGCAAACGAGTCCTCGTGACGCCATGAGACTCACCTGCACAAATAAAGGTTGAATGAAGCAAAACGTTCGGCTCATTCAGCAGACGGCTGCTGTGACGTTTGGTTTACGTAACTTTTAAACTTTTCTAAATATTTAACTTTATTTACAAAGAAACTCCCAACAGAAACAGTTCTTTCATAAATCTGCTTCGGCTGCTGGCTCTTTTGTTCTTTTGGCTACTTTTAGCTTTTAGCTACCGTTTTGTTCTTTTTGATTGTAGCTAAAGTGTTCCAACATTCCTAAACCTGAACCATAGGACCTGAACCTGAACCCTAAACCTGGAACTCCATGCAGACCCTGAACCTGATCCTTTAAACCTGGACCCTGGACCTTAAACCTAGACCTCCATGCAGACCCTGAACCTGACCCTTTAAACCTGGAGCTGGAACATGGACCTTAAACCTGGACCTCCATGCAGACCCTGAACCTGACCCTTTAAACCTGGACCCTGGACCTGGACCTTAAACCTGGACCTCTATGCAGACCCTGAAACTGATCCTTTAAACCTGGACCCTGGACCTTAAATATGAACCTTCATGCAGACCCTGAACCTTAATTTGAACTGGTTGGACCTTCAGCTTCTCAGTAAAAAATGTATTTTTCATGAATAAACGAGCTGAAAGGTGAATCCCTCAGATTGTTCAGCAGAAACCTTCTAACGGGAGTATTATGGGATGTTTTAAGTTTTCCTGTAGTTTTCACTTTGAACCACCAGGTGTCCTCAGTCAGCAGATGAACGTTCTGAAGCTTCTGTTTGTTATTGGAACATTAAATTCTTAGAACATAATAAAATCTTTTATTAATGTCTGTATTGTCATTCATTCATTCAACCTTTGTTTCTACAGGTCCCACTGAGCCTCGGGGACTCATTTACAAGAGAGACCTGATTATGGTGTTTTTTTTATTTTTCATGTTTTGAACCTTTTGAACCCTGAAGAAACACTTGTTGTGACATTTGTTGAAATATTTGTGTTCATCTGGAGAGTTCAAATGTATAATCCTGCTGCAGAAATCCGATTAGACTGAAATAATGTTGTAGATGATTGTTAGAAAACAAAAAGAGGATTTTATATGTTTCGGGTTTTTGTCTGATGACTGGACTTCTGCTGTCTCGTTTGGACCAGGAGGAAGGACTTGGCCTTGCTCTGAAATGAGTCAGGTCCTAAACCTGACCCATTTATGATTAAACAAAGGTGTTATGTCAGCCTTATTGTTTCAGTGTCCTCATCAGCTCCTCTTTTTTTATGGAGTCCCACAAGGCTCAGGTTTAGGCCCTCATCTTTTTACTGTAATTCCTTCCCCTTGGGTCCATACTCAGAAAACTTGTTTCATTTCATTGTTAAGCTGATGATACTCTGATTTATGTGCCTCTTAGTATCCAGTCTGTTACTTCTTGAGGACAAAAAGAACAAGATGGAACTTAGCTTTACTGAACTTGAATGAAAACAAAACCAAGGTGATGGTTTTCAGTGACACTACTGGTCCTTAGATTCTTGGCCCAGAAGAGCAGACAAACTGTGAGGAAGTTGACAATTAAACTAGATTCTGAGCTCAAATTAGAGTCAGATCAGTCAAAGGTTAAAAGAAATGATCATTTAAGGCAGCTGGCTAAAATATAACCCAATTGTTCAATAAAACACTAAAACACACTAAAAAACATAAAGACCGTCTTTTCACCACCCAGCTCGATTAACTCAGGTTTACTGGACATTAGTGGCTCTTCCATGCTCTATATGGAGGTTGGTGGGTCCTCTATCTGGGACTCGGGGGTCCCTCTTCAAGTCAGAAAGGCCTCTTGACAGGTTTGATCTCATAAATTTGTTTTTTCTTATATTTTTTTAATGGATTTTATAGTTTTATTTAAGTGTTTTAATTTTCATTTTGTCTGCTGTGTGCAGCACTTTGATGTTTGGAGCTAAAACCTTCATGTTTTTCCTGCTGCAGTTCCTCAGTCCACCCCCAGGTGTCAGGCTTACACCACACCTTCGTGAACCACCTGCGCCCCCTCCAAGCCTCACTTCCGGTTCCGTTAAAGTTTTAAACAATACTTACAAGAAGTTCTAAAGTCAGTAGAAGCTAAAACCTTTAAACTTACTCCAGCTCCAGATTCTGTCCAATCAACTTTCATCATTTTGGGTTTAAATCTAAATTAACTGTTTTTATAGAAACTTTCCCATGATGATGATGAAGATTATGATGAAGATGTGATAGAGGATGATGATGATGGGCAGTTAGTTCCATCTGAGACTGGAGAAGAGGAAGAGAACATGGTTTCATGGTGGTGGTGTCACCTTCCTCCTCCTGGATGAAACTGCTCCTCCTCCTCCTCCTCTTGGTTGAAGCTGCTCCTCCTCCTCCTCTTGGTTGAAGCTGCTCCTCCTCCTCCTCCTCCTCCTCCTCCTCCTCCTGGCCAAGCTGCTCCTCTGAAATGTCCCTCGTCAGGAGTGAAACTTTCTGTGTGCTCCGGTCCGGTCCTGGTCTCAGATGGGACTCGTCAGGTTGGAGGTTTCCAGGCTTGGAGCAGTTTTTGACCAGGAGAACCAGGAGGAACCAGGAGAACCAGGAGGAGGTCTGATCGGTGAGTCCACTCACTCTGATTTGTTCTAAATAAAATCTCGGCAGATGATTTTACTCAGAGCGTCTTCAGTGGATTGATTCAGCTCCTCGCACGGATCAGGACTTTTACAAACTCTGCAGATTCTGTTTTTGAATATTTCCATCCTGAAGCTCCAGAAGTCAAAATGTGTCAGTTGTTATTTACTTATTTATTTATTTATTTATTTATTTATTTAATTTATTATTTCCATCCTGAAGCTCCAAAACAACAAACTGTGTTTGTTTTTGTTGATTTATAAAAATGTGAATCAGTTTCTGCTTCTGTTTAAAAAATAAAGTCACTTCAGGAGGAGCTCGAGTCAAACAGTCCAGATCTCAGGTTCTACGGGGGGGGTGTCAGTGCAGTGATGGGGGCCACTGCCCCTGAGCCATCACTTTCACACCTCTCCAGCCCCCACAGGGACCCGTTGGACCTTCAGAACTGAGCACAGCTCAGCTTTTCTGCAGAGGGTCTGATGGACCGGGGGGGGGGGGGGGGGTGTAAAAATATGTTATATGTTGCACAATTCTTACACGAATATTAGTTTTATTACGTCTGTTTATTAGTTTTATCATTTCTGATCATTAGTTTTATCATTTCTATTATTAGTTTTATCATTTCTATTATTAGTTTTATCATTTGTAATTATTAGTTTTATCATTTGTAATTATTAGTTTTTGTCATATCTGATTATTAGTTTGATAATTTCCAATTTTCAGTTTTATAATTTCCTATTATTAGTTTTACAATTTCCGATTATTAGTTTTATAATTTTCGATTATTAGTTTTATCATGTTTGATTATTAGTTTTATCATTACTGATAATTAGTTTTATCATGTTTGATTATTAGTTTTATCATGTTTGATTATT